TGCTTCCTTTACTTTTCTACAGATTAGAGGTACATCTTCTACTGGCTCGACATGGAATGTATATTGATCCACACTAGCATCAGCCATGGGCTCGATCCACTGTAATTATTCATTTACTTTTCTTTAATATAGATTTATTTATTTCATGTATTTCAAAACTTATTTGTAAGCATTTTTTGTGCAATTTTTAAGAAAAGTATTTGTGCTGAAATCGTTAAAATTGCTCCAATCCTACATACTTGTTCTGGATTAGATACCATCATATGTGTCTCGAAAAAGGCATTTTTTATTTTACCACGAAGACACTTTACAATAGGATGACCGAACGTAAGATTAGGAACAAAGTGACCATCCATCACATCTAAGTGCAAGTAATCCGCGCCATTATCAAGTAACTTTTGCGATTCTTCATAAAGTTGTGCCAAGTCAGCGTTTAAAATCGACGGTCCGATTTTTGCGCTCAAACACTTCGCCATATCACTTTCTTCAAAATGAACGAATATTTAGAAATTGCTTGTACAATTATAATACGTATATCCAGTGTGTGATTCTACACTGAAATAGATTAGAATGTGTGAAGATATGTTTAAAATATGTAGTAGTATATTGCACGCGGCAAGTGATAACCTAACTCAACCTATGCCAGAGATCAGCTGATTGCATCTAATATCGGTTAGATTACTTCTGATTTCTGTCTAACACGTGGAGTTCATCTGGAGGGACGAGTTAGGCAAGCGACTGTGTGATATGCGAAGTTTAGAACATTATTGTAAAATGATAGCTTCGAGTTTTATTCTCATACATATTTGATATTTGAAACAATCGGTGCTTGAATTTTTATTTTACAATACATATAAAAAAGTTATGTTAAATAGCGGGTTATATCATCGTAATGGAATATATCTCTGTCAAAAAAGATAATGTTAGTGCATCACAAAAATCATCAAAAATCGGCTTATTTTTGATTGCAGTCACAGGTTTCCTTATTTTATATTATTAATTTTGTGCTGAATTTCATACGCATTACTATTTTGATGTTTATTTGTGCCTTATTAGGTGGAATTGCAACGGCGATTAGTGTCGTGTGTTTTCCATTTATAAGCCCTGCGTTTCGTAAGATATGTTTACCATATGTACCAGCCACGCATCAACAAATAAAAAATGTTATTCAAGCATTAAACGGTCGCTCTGGTTCCTTAATTGATCTTGGTAGTGGAGATGGAAGAATTGTGAGTATGATGATATTTTGTAATAGTGAGGAATAGTGAGAATGAAACATTTATCATTATAAATATAAAATATAATAAAATAAAGCATATAGAATAAGCTTTCCATTCTTAACATAATAAAGAAAATAATTCAAAAATAGGTTCTTGCAGCAGCAAAGCATGGTTTTAAGGCCCATGGTATTGAATTAAATACTTGGCTGGTGTGGTATTCAAAATTTAAAGCATTGATTAACGGTTTATCAAATGATACTGCATTTTTTAAGCAGGATTTATGGAAACATAATTTGGGAAAATATAATAATATTGTTATATTTGGTGTAGATCAAATGGTATGATTCTTTAATATTCGTTATGACTCTCTTTAGATGTTATGAAAATATATGTATATCAAACAGTCATAATATCTTTTACAGATGGAAGATATTGAAAAGAAATTTAATAACGAATTATACAAAGATTCCCTTGTAATTGCATGTAGATATCCTCTTCCTAATACATGTCCTATTACGACAATTGGGCATGGAATTGACACTGTTTGGATTTACAAGATACGTTAGAGCTGAATTGAGGAATCACAAAGGTATATTCTTAAATATTCTTGAATAAATTACAAGAGGAAATGTAGAGATAATTGCTGCATATTTAATGTTATGCATTTACTGTAGAGAACATATAGCATTAAAAATTTTAATCATAAAAAAAGTAGATTTACATCTTTATCAAATTGACATATGTGTGTTTCTCTTGAGTATTGAATAAATTATTCTCTATTATGACAAAGTGGCTAACTTATACATGTAATCTTAGGCATATTTTCTTATATCTAATACAATTCTCAATATTAATGAGATTTTCTTCCAAGTAATAAATTTAATACATAAATTGCATTTTGCATTTAATGCTTTTTTATCCATTGTGTTTTTTCTTAATATAATTGTAAAACACTATAGGATTTTATCTCTCTCTCTCTTTCTCTCTCTTAAGGTATACATAGCAATGTATACAATTACTTATTTATGTAATTAATTTTAAGTATCATATAAACGCTATCACATAGATTATGAGATTTTAATTATGTGATTAATGATTCGTAATGAAAAATTGAGCAATGAGATTGATAATTCCAATGACAGGTATACTTAAGTGGATTAACAGGGAACACATAGTTAACTTTTCTTCTTTCTTTAAAATCGACAAATGCAGTAAACTCGGCAAAGTGAAAACGTAGATAAATCCGCTTAAAGCGCCGGTATATCTAATGATAGTTCCGATATAAGGCATAAAGGTCGCGAACAAAATACATATAGAAACCAATATAAGATTAATGACAAGCACTAAGCTCTTATTGGATACTCCTTTGCATATTGATGAGAGCAACTGCACACGCAGCATATATGCAAGCAAAGGATAGACGGTTACTAATTGAAAAAGTAGTACTATACGAGCACCTAATGTAAAGCCATCCCACTTTTGAAAATTATTCAATAAATTCTGTGGAACAAAGATGAGTCTCAGTTTAGAAAGCATGTCAACACAATTTTTGTATTATATTAAATTGTTGTTTTTATAATATTGCATACTTACATCTTCTATGCATGACTTTGGCAGAGGGAAGCATATGAAAAACACTGCTCCAACGATGATATAAGTTAACGTGACGAGAATATATGCTATAGTTAAATCTCTTCCCTAAAAATAAAACCGTTTCTATCTAATATGCATAAGTATTCAATAAGCGAATTTAAAGTAACTTACATTCTTCTTTTGATTACGATTATTTTTCATTATACTGATTATAATATTGTGGATAAAGAACGACATTGCGAGCATTCCAGTGAGGGCTGGAAATGTGGGTCGTATTACCCAACTTGTTGCCCATTCGGTGTCCATATTAATGCCCCATGATGCGGATTTTATCAGAATGAAGATAACCAAATAAATAATTGATACCGTTCCTGAAAGAATTAAAATTTTATAATAATATTAATGGACATTTCAATCTGACAAATCAGAATGGTAGTATTTGTAACCATGTAACTTATTTCTATTGAATGAAGATATACATACTCTCTTTCAAATATATTAAATATAAAAATGTAACTAATATATGCTATATATGCTCACCGAGGGAATTAAATTTTGTAAAAAATGTTGTACTGTTAAAATTCAGTAATGGAAATATCAATATAGCTAAAAACCCAGGAACAGTGTTGCGTAAGTCCCATGCTGGTCCCAATGCATCAAATGTTTTATCATATATTACAACAGTATCATTATCTTGGTTTTTTTGTGTTGGACATAAGACTGTAATAATTAAAGCAATAAGATCAATATTGTGTAAAAAAATTTGTTATTCTCAAATAATAAATTAAATTTTATATTTATATTTTTTACATTTACCTTCTGTATGCGAAATGTTCTCAGGTGCAGGATGTGTCGGCCAACCAGCTGCATTATCTGCAAAACGAACATACTTCATTACAGAACGATCCACAAGGATTTGCATTCTCGCGTGCGCACATTTACAACGAGGATACTTACCATAAATAAAATTCACGCTATTGTACAAGAAATTAGCCATCAATATCCAATAAGCTATAGTTGCGCCCAGCAGCACGGCAATACTAAATATTTTGGCAATATATTCCGCCCATTTGCCGAGGTATATTCTACTCAAGTCTAGGACCTCTATATTTTCTCCTCCACCTTCGAAAATGGAAACGATCGATTCGTAACATTATATCGGTAAGTTGACTTGTTATTTCGTGGAGAAAGAGATCCTCTCTCTTACCGTGATACGCGTGTGCAACTATGAGACGGTAAGCTGTGTATAAGCATAAACCGCTCATCAGTAGATTGAGGATAATCCCAGGAAAGAATCCGGCCATCCCGATTCCCCATGGCATAGTCAATAACGACGATCCCAATATCGTATTCCATATTGAAAATCTAAAAGAAAAATGATACAAAAATTAATATCTGAATTGTTAGAATATTGTCACAATATTAAATATTATTACACACGTGTCATTGTATATAATTCATTTTCGAATAGAGATTTATTTTATCATAATTTTAATTCGAGAATTAATGATATAAGAAAATGTTTAATATCGCGAATCAGAGAAGAAAAAGATCGCGAATTTGTCATAGAATCTCTAGTCTGATAATAGAAGCGTTAATGATTGAAACATTTATATTATCAGCTTTTATCAGTTATTTCCTCTTTGACATATATAATATGTATATTATATTATTTTTATATACGCAAACATTTCTCCCAATAATTGATTATACTTTGCACTCGAATGTTCGAGCTCGTAAAGATATTCCTATCTATCTCTTCGCAGTTAAGATTCGCGGTGCGCATTATAATTTGCATTATCATCAATATTTTTGGAAGGTATTATCTTATAATACACGAATCTCATGACTTGAATCATTTCATCGCGAATATATGGACCAAGGACAGCGGGTATATTTATATTGCTAAACTTAATTCATTGTGACCAGGACAATTTCGCGAATGCGATTTTTTTACGAGCGAGATAATCACCCTTTTTCAGAATATTGGCCAAGACGAACTTTGGCAATGCGACAACAACCGATTTCACAAACGTGTCTTTCCTTCGTTCTAATTTCATATTTATTCCATGAATGAGTCAATTTCATCACTCGTAAAAATGGATATTTATCTTTTTTTCGTGTATTATAAAAACATACGGCGCGAGTAATAATTAATAATAATAGGTAACAGTAAAAGTAGTGATTAATAATAATTATAAATAGAAAAAGTAATAATTACATAAGTAATACGAAAATAATCACGATTGTGTGCAGATTCAATTTTATACTTTTAATTTTGCGCTGTACAACGATTTTAATCTTTATTTTTAGAATAGATGTTACAAGATGATATTTTCAAATTGAAGAAAAAAAAATCCAATTTAATTTTTTGACAAGAGTTTAATCTTCGTCGCTTTTCATCGTCACCAACGATCTAATCTCTCTCTCTCTTTCTTTCGGAATTGTGCCGCTCTCGTTGCGCCTGCACAACGTGCCCGGCGAAACGGGAGCTCGGCGCTCGCGGTGCGGCGGATTGTCGGTGTCGGCTAAGGGCATTCACCTTCGGCGGGGCGGTCGTCTGTTGCCCGGGCAACAGACAGAGCGGTAACCCCTTTGGGCGTCCTGTCGCGCCGCGTTCTAGACGCGTTCCGGGACGTCGCGCGGCGCGAGGCGCGCATCGAAGCGCTGAGAAGAGGCACCTTCGTTCCCGCGTCTCGAAAACGAGCACCGCGTCTTCCCCTCGTGATAGAAGTCTATCGAAACAGAGACCCCGAAATCCCGCGCTGATGTGCGTTTAAGTTTAAAGGATCGAGAGCGACGGCATCTCCGACGCTCGTTTTCCAGACGCGGGAACGAAAGAGACCGTGCGAGTGGATCGAAGTTCGCGGAAATCGGAGGCCCTTATCGCGCGTGGGATTCGATGATAGAGGAGGATACGAGATCTCGTGGTAGAAGATCTCGCAAGCGGGGACGACGTTAACGTATAAATGGTGAGTCCTCTGGACGAGTCTCTGAAAATTCGCGAGTATCGCAACTGTCAAATCGTTATCGTCCATCGGCGTCTAGCGTGTGCACGATCACGTATTTAAGTTATATCAGTCACATGTAGCGGTTATATATACACACACACACACACACACACACAATATGGTTGCGTTCGGAATCCGACGCAGCCTATGTGTGTATGTGTGTGTTAGGTCGATTATGTCATGCGTGAATCTAACATTTATCACACTCGAATTGATTAGACGTGAGATATTCGATTTTACGAGAGCTCATAAATTTGTTTATATTAACTGATACACTTTCACGTGAAATAGGAAAAACAGTTACGATATGGTTACCATTAGCTTTTCCTTATTTTTACTATAAATAAAGTATAACTAATCTCTTTTTTTTGCTTTTGTTCTTATAGACAAAAGTAAAAAAAAAAGAAATGCATTAGTTATATATATATATATATGTATATATGTATGTATATATATATATATATATATATCATAGCAAAAATTAAAAAGAAGATATACATTCTCGTTATATTTTTATCATTATGTTATGTTGTTTTCTAAATCTGCATTGTTTTTCAGCACAGATATAATTAGCTATCAATTGCATGAGTTAATTGTCGTTTTATACAACTATTCGTACATTATCTTAACGGCATTCTCTCTTTTTGGAATACAAGATTACTTGAACGCAATAATGTTTGAAATAATGCTCTGTCATATACAATTTCGCTCCCTTATGTACGGTATCATTGACGATGAAGAAGAAATTAATTTCCAAGATGCGCTGATGCAAGTTACAAGCCTATTGCCATCAGCCATCTATAGAAGATAAACGAGTGCGTCATACATGTAAAAAAGAAAAAACCACGATACATCGCAGAATACGAACAGAAATATGATAAATAATATGAGATAGACATTCTAATTGACCATTGATAATACCTAACACTCGTAACGATCTCTTTCTATTTCTTTCTCTTCTTTGCATGTATAAATTATAAAATCAGCAGATTTTATGACACACTCAAAAAAATGTCTTGCTGATATAGGTAGATTTCTAGGTGTCACAACAAAAATTTATCGCTATTTTTTGTATCTGTTAGAATATTGTCTGTTACATATAGAATTTATAGCAGCAATATTCTAATAATATCTTCTAGAAAATTTAGGTCCCATTGCCAAATGTTAATCACTGCATTGGATAAATATGAGTTTCGATACTACAGCTAGAACGATCTTTGTGAGAAATATAACTGCCAATTATAACTGCAGCATCGAAAAATTGAGAGAAATTGTTTAAAAGAGCTAGATAGATTGGGCGCGTTATACAAATATGTTAGATGTGAGGATTATATATTCATTTGTCTCTTGCCGCTAATTTTTTCTGTGTACCACAGCCAAACTTTATAACAAGTATGATTGGCCTTAACATGGATAGGCGTCACATAAAAACATTCTTTCTAAATTTCACAAACAGTTCAGATATAAATTCTGTCTCTGTCACTTAGATTGATTAAATGCGAAACATATGCGATATCACAGTATTTGCTAATCATTTATGTACCTCAGTTAATTTTGCGCACCCAGAAAATTTTTGCTGTAGTTGCAATACCACTTTTTTGAGTGCAAGGAAATGATTTTTAACTCGAGCGCAGGTGAATCGAAGACATTCCACGTGTGAAATTTATATAAGAAAGATTCCAGAGTTGATAAATGTTAAAATATTTATTATTGAAAATGTTATTATGACCTGCGTTGAATATTAATGCAGGAATATAATAAAACGGGTGTTTTATCGATAATAAAAATAATAGAAAAATTAAAAAATATATCCTATTAAATAATATAAAGTTTGACTTAATTTCGAAATACTTATTTACGCAGATGATAGATAAATCATGTAAATAATATCCTCTATCTATTTAATTTGAGACTCGGGAACTTGTGTAATGAAAGTATATCGCTTGGTGATTCAATTGATTTTAAGAAACGGTCGATTATCACACAACATGACCATCGTTGTATAAATAGTGACGCCTGTCTAGAAATGTCTCCGATACCTGATACCTCGTGCGCGTCGAGACGATTCCGTATCTCAAAATACTCACATGGTGACCAATGAATTTTGCTTCGGCTTGAGATCCTTGTACGAGGCATGCACCATGTCTGGTTGAAATTGCGATCCACGTGTAAAGTCTATCCCGTACGCTTTTTTCGGATCGACATTTTCGTTTGTTAATACCTGTAAAAAAAGAACGCACACGTGTGTAAAAGATCGAGGATGCTGCATTTATTTCTGGATCCGCGCGCTCTTTTATCGAGATTTTTATCAATATATTGTTATTTTATATATATATATATATTTTTTTTTTTTATAAATATATCGTTATTTTATTTTTACTGTTCTTTTTACCAGGTCGATGTTACACGGCTCGTAATTCTTCTCGTGGACGAGATTCACGATGCAAGGCGAGTGCGCCGCTGCCGAAAGATATAACTCGTTCCGCGTTAGGGGGGGCGGCCTTTTCGGTACAGCTGTTAGGGTTGTGCTATAACTGGCGGCGTCGATGCTCCCATATCTAGGCAACACAACGAAGATGTGTCAACACAAGTCACGCGTATGTATCTCCTATAAATAATATAAATATAATATTTATATGTCTCAAAATAAAAAAGAGAGAAAGGGAAAGATATCGTACTTGAAAGAACAGCCAGCTGGGCTCGGATCTAAGTCGCTCGTATCCAAGTCATCGGATATCGTCGATAGTTCTAAACTCGTGCGAGATTCCGAGGAGAGGAACGGCGTGCTTTCGGATCCGCTGTCTCGTGGAGAGGTATCGCTACCACCTCGGTAAATGCGAGACTTGTACATAATACGTTCTTGACGATTAAAGCCTCTGTAATGAAAGAGAATTTAAACCTTCGTTTATGTAGATAGAATTTTTTTTAAACAGTTTATAAAATAAGTACACTTACTATGCAATTAAACGACGCGCGTCATTTTATGTCGTGTTAATGCATTACGAGATCTGTATTATATATGTTGTCATTTTTTAAATAAAAATATCAAATGTACCGCTTATATCGTTTACAAGATACGAGCGGAGATAGCGGATTCAATAATTATTACTTGTCATAGCACATGTACGGTTTTATCGAAACAATAAATATATCTTTTTTTTTTTTTTTTTAGTTCAAATTACAGCCGATGATTAAAGAGGATCCAAAAACCACACGAAAAGTTATCGTAAACTTAGCTGAACGATATTCGATATTAGTGAACCTTCCGCGATTCTGTGTGAGTCGTAGCGTAAATTGAAAAATTTCCAACTCACTCTATCTATCTATATCTCTTTCTTTTCCTAATATACAATCAATCTGATTGATTTCTTCTCATTCCGGCGTGGAATAAATGACCGACAATATCGTCGGGCTTAAAACTATTTCCTGATAACGGGTACTGTTGTTCCTACGCGAACGCGGCCGATTGGAAAACTGGGTTTTGGAGCAAGTTGATCTCTGTTTTATAAACTCGCGAACTTTATATCAGCCATCCTTGACTTAACACTCTCCTTCCACCCGTTTTTCAACGGCCGCCAGCGCGCGCGCGTGTCGCTAAAAACGATGACCGCCGGTGTTGATCACAAAATGATCGCAATGTTTGCGATGATTTTTGTTTCCTTCCCTCTTTCGATATCGATGGAGGAGCTCGTTGTAAGATAATAATCATCATGAACGCAATTTTAGTAAAATTGTACAATTTTCTTTCTTATCGTTCCGCGACAAACTCGGATCTACCCGTCTAATCATGGCTTTAACCCTTTGGGCAAAAAAATCTCATTGACGTACATTAGCGCTATTTTGTGTGAGGTTTTATTTTTTGATCTATGTTATAGGTAGAATTGTACAAATAGATAAGCGACCTTTAATCTATCTCGCTGAGTTAATCCGGATTGTCGACGCCACATGGCCTAACTGTTTACTTCGTTATTTTCTTGTACGCGACTTATGCTATATAATTTGAAAATAATTATATCCATTTCGAGTGATGTGATATTTAGAACAATATACGAACTGTTAAACACATGTTATAAAGTACACTTGTCGTAACATTAGCGGTACTAGTTACGAGTTTTACTGAGAGATCCTCTTGAGTTAAACGTAGGTAATTAACTGAATGAAACTTTTCACGTAGTCATACGTACAATTTCTTCTCCAATAGTCACTAATCTTGCACCAATGAGTCATTAACAAATAATAAATACTCCCTCAATGCGCCCAGTAAATCTTATGATAAAGGTGTTTAAATACACAAAAGAGCATACTACAAAAGAAGTGTCTATAAATACTTTACAGAGTATCTGACGGATCATATTGGCTCATTACTTAAATCTTTCTAAGAAAAAAAGTTGGAATTGTCTCTTGTTATCTTTATGTTTACTTATTTTCAATTAATTGATAATTATGTTTTCCTATGTGAGATTTCTAATATTCCGGCATTCCTCGGAAAGGCAAAGCCCTTATGAAAGAAATTTTTACTTGTGTTAGTGATAACAAGTACATACATTGAACAGCATTCGCAAAATATAGAGTTTCTTTTTTTTCGAATGCTATTTTTTGCAGAAATTAATAACTGTGATGTTTGCTTTTTATTATTTCCACTTAAAACATCGAACTTGCGACCCTATTCATTTATCTCTCAACGATGTGTTATATATACATATACAATGCCTGAGAAATCCTGTACATTTGTTATCTTAATTTGAAGCAATATATGATCCGTGACGTCAAACTCGTGGATTAAACACGCGATTTCTATTATGTTCGAGTTTAAGTTTAGTTCTAAATAACGAATTATCATGTTAATGTAATTGTTTTTTTTTTTTTTTTTTTTTCTTTCGTTTTTAAAGGTGGCCAGGTCATGAAATGAAGAACAACAGAATGCATTTAATGAGCGATTGTTTATTATGCTCTTATTATGGTCACTTGTCATACAGGTAACGATGCTTCTCAATGAGTGAAAATAGTTAATATATTATGTTTGTTTTTTTTTTTTTTTTTTTTTTTTTTACTTTTATCGTTTATCGAAAATGATAAAAGCACGAATCTCGAAAGATTATATTCACAATATATTTACGAATTGGAAAAATCGCGATATACATCTATCTCTATCTCTAGCTCTCTTTTTTCCATGTTATTAATTTACACATAATGTATTTATAAATCTGTTATCTATGTATGCACATGTGATTACGAATATTGTTTATTCATAATCGTGCTTCCAATTTATTCGTTTGATAGTCGAAAAATGTTAAAATATATTATTTTGTGAAAATTGCTACTATGACCGAAAATGACCAAATTGAAACTGTAGAAATTAACAATAAAGCAAATTAAAATGTATTAATATTCTTTACTTCTCATGAGAGATATTTTCTCTTAATTTTTATAGAACTTTTTGATATCTCAATCGTTATTAAAGTTTAAAGATAATTTGATTGATCACAGCATATGTTATTATTTATCCAACATCTTAGATACAAATACAACAATTATAAAATTATTATAGGAATTTTTACATTTATATGGAAATATAAGACAATCTTTATTTTTTTACTTAGCAAAATTAAAAATCTATTAACATAAAAAATTGAAATAAAAACGGCTTTTACCGAACGGCTTTTCTGATTATACTCACTTTCTTTGAATGAAGCAGCATATTTGCTTACCTTACAAATATTTTTCCATAAATCTTTCCAAAAACGAAGCTTATATGCGTTGCTAGATATCGGCTTTTGATATTAAATATGAAGCTTTAAATCCGCTCGGTCAAAAATTAGTAAAGACGGCTCGCTTATTTATACAAGCGAATTAAAAATTGTGCTTATATAATTGGGAGTTACACTGTATATTACCAAGAAAATTTTATATTTCCCGGCGAAACTGATAAGTCTTACATCTGTTCTTTATCTGTATATATTCTTTATATGTAAATATATTCTCTTTCTTATCTTTTCTCTTTTTCTTTTTTCACAATACACTTTTGAGCGTACACTTTTTAATCTTGCAAAGAATCGGGGAACAATCGCAAAAATATTCGGAAATTTCTCCGATTAAATTAATTTCCTTTCTTTTTCCGTCAATTGCAAATATTGAAGAGCATGTTATACACGCGGTCGGTCCTATGCGATTTCGACGTTTCGACCATGCGTACACGTGCGCGACAGCTGGCGCGCGCGATCTTGCAAGATGGCGGCGACCGGGCGCCCGTGCCCTTGCGTGTCATTGACAGACAAAGTTCAGTCTGCCGGCAGTTGTTGAGCGGCTATTGCGAGAGTACGATCTCTCCCTTTTGTTCGCACGTCCGATTACGACACGTTTCCTTCTAGTTTCATCTAATTACATCGCAGGAACACTACACGGAGAACTTCGTCCAGGCGATATTGCAGGCCCTAGGTGATCAGCTGATCGGCTGCACTCTCGTCGTCGGCGGTGATGGACGGTTTTACGGCAAGGAAGCAGTGGCGAAGATCATCCGACTCGCCGCGGCAAACGGGGTAAGATCGATCGACCGGTTCGAAGCTTTTGCGAAAATTTCATGAGAAATCCACGAATGCTATGCACTCGGATTGAATTACTGCAAGGCAATTGTGACAATATTGCAAGATTGTAAGAGATAAAGAAATATTGATGCAAGCAACTGTCACTGAACAATTATAGTAAGCTTGATATTTGATATCAATAAGCGTGTCCATACATAGCATGCAATGTGTCTTAACTTCATCAGGATTCTGCTGATTTTTATAATACATATTATATTATTTAATTATTTGACACTGTGGCAATTTTATTCGATAAAATAATACAATTGAGATAAAAAAATTGTATAAGGTATCATCTAGAGACATTTATAGATTTAGAAAGAAATTACAGTATAGAAACTAAATAGATTATACCACAAAAGTATTATTTTTTTTATAGGTAGGAAAATTGATTGTTGGTCAAAATGGCATTCTTTCAACGCCAGCAGTATCAACTATAATAAGAAAGTATAAGACACAAGGCGGAATTGTCCTAACCGCGTCGCACAATCCTGGTGGTCCTGATGCCGATTTTGGTATTAAATTTAATTGCGATAACGGTGGTCCTGCTCCAGACAACATAACGAATAAAATCTACGAGATTACTAAAACACTCCAATGTTATAAAATTATTCCTGATATTAGCATAGATATTGATAAAATACAGAACATTTCTATCGAGGTGGATGGTAGACCATTCACTATCGATATAATTGATTCTGTGAACGATTATGTGGAACTTATGAAAGAAATTTTTGACTTTGCAAGTATTAAGAAATTATTGCAAGGCAGTGTGGATAAGCCAGCATTTAAAGTTCTCATCAATTCAATGAATGGAGGTTAGGCTATTACATAATTTACATATGTTATTTTTCTCTGCTTTTTTATAGAGAATTCTCTCAGATCTTATAAGCAAAGATATTATAATAAACTTTTATTGATTTTCAGTTACGGGACCGTACGTAAAAAGAATATTTAGTAGTGAATTAGGCGTTGATGATACAAGTTTAGTAAATATAAAGCCGTTAGAAGATTTCGGTGGTTTACATCCCGATCCAAATTTAACTTATGCCAAAGATTTAGTGAATGCTATAAAAGAAGGACCGTATGACTTTGGTGCCGCTTTCGATGGAGATGGAGATAGAAATATGGTGAGTAAAATCAATCAGAAACATAGTTTAAAAACTCTAAAGTCTTCATAATTAAAAAATTGTTTTAACAAATTTTGTTTTACTTACAGATTTTGGGCAAGAAAGCTTTTTTTGTTACTCCTTCTGATTCCTTAGCAGTATTAGCTGCTAATCTAAAATTAATTCCATATTTCCAAAAGACTGGAATTAAAGGATATGCTAGATCTATGCCAACGGCTGCAGCCGTCGATAGAGTCGCCACTAAGAACGGAATGAAATTCTTTGAAGTTCCCACTGGATGGAAATATTTCGGTATGCGGGATTTTTACTTTGCATTTTAAAAATCTGTAAGTTACATCTTACACGTAATCTCTCTAAACTTTAGGAAATTTGATGGATGCCGGGGATCTGTCGTTATGTGGAGAAGAAAGCTTTGGTACCGGTTCCAATCATATTCGCGAGAAAGATGGAATATGGGCATGTCTGGCATGGCTCAATGTCATCGCAGGACTTGGGAAATCTGTAGAGAATATTTTATTGGATCACTGGAAAGTTTATGGAAGAAACTTTTTCACTAGGTATATAATAATCTCTTTACTACCCCCACAATTATATTTAAATATTCCTTAACTCTCTCAGCGGTTCTCTATTACTTTTACAAATTCCTGATCTTATTATCGGTTTTAGATATGATTATGAAAATTGCGACTCTGCGAGTGCGGATAAAATGATGCAGAGCATTGAAACGGTGATTCAGAAACCAGAATTTATTGGCAGAAAGCTGCAGCACGAAGGTAAAGAATACGTTGTTAAGCAAGCAGATAATTATTCCTACACGGATCCTGTTGATGGTAGCAAAGCTACGAAACAGGTAAGTGTTCTACAATTATATTTATTATGATGCTTTCATATTTTCAAGCTATAATTACATCGTTTTATACAATTAGGGTTCACGGATATTATTCGAGGATGGTTCTCGCATTATATTCCGCTTATCCGGAACGGGAAGTTCAGGCGCTACTATCCGTATGTATATCGATAGTTATGAGAATGATCCAGCTATTTTCGAGAAAGACGCACAATTGGTGTTAAAACCTTTAATTAATATCGCATTAGAATTAAGCAAACTTCGTCAATACACTTGCCGTGATGCACCGACTGTGATTACATAAAACATTTTGTTTTCGTTTTTTTCATCACGCGACATTGTTTCTCATATAAAAGCTGTTTAGAGGAATTTATAAAATGGGAAGGTAAGATTTCACATCGGTATAAATTCATTTGGGTTGTAGAGATTTGATCGATTTCATTATCGTCTGAATCGCGAAGCAATAGCAGAAAATAATCGTTGCTGGCATCAATGAACGAATTTTCCATTTTTATAAATTGTTACCGGGAGTTTACGATTCCATCCACATAATATATATTGTGCGTATTGGACAAATTATTCAATATGCATATCTGTGAGTAGCAACTGAAACGTTTCAAAATTATATAATATTAGATATTTGCTATAGATGTTGTTGTGCTTGAAACTTTATATTTCAAGTCAATCGTGAGAGGATGCAACTTAAACTTATTTAGATCTTACTTAAATATTTATGTGCGCAAGAGGAACATTGATATCGTCCCTTAAGCATCAAGAGGTGACTCTGTAATCATCTTGAATTCTTTGGTAGGAATTTGAGTAACATAACTTATACGTATTGCTCATATATTCACATGAGTTAATAAACATTAATTGCCCTTTTATTGTAATTATAAACTAGATATCTGTCTGGTATATGTAGATATTCTACATGTGCTAGAAAACTTCTTTGGAAATATTTCCTGACATAATATTATGTTACAAAATGAAATTGTTGATATGCAATAATACTTATCTATTTGTTATGCTACAACATATTGATTAAAAAAAAATGCAATTTGCTGTGCCCGATCTGTACATAAAAAATGCATTCTTCGAAAAAAACTGAGCGCGAAAAACATTCTGTATCTATTAAAAATCATGTGATTGTACGTAGTCCGGCCGTAATGTGTGCACATCTTTTACTTTTTATTAATAATTGATATTAAAGCCACGAAAAACTTCCAATATATTATATTCCGCAGCCATAATTATATATCACAATAATGAATATCATCACGTGCATTCCGGTATGTAAAAATATAATTTGTAAAAATCACGATTGAATGAACAAAATGGATATATTGTCAATCTTCCAAAGTTTATGTCTATCCACGATTCACATCTGATATTCTTGCTATAGTATAATTTTCATTTGTTTTTTCATCCATAATTTTACAGTGAAAATACTATCTAATGTTTAATTTGTGATGCTCTAGATAAGCCGTTAATTTAATATGCAATACCATTAAATTTTTAACACGATCGGATTAATGTATAATATGTGAAAGTATTTTTTCTTTACTTTTTTCTAGTTTCATTAATTGTACAGTGTATAAAGGATGTAGAGACTGAAGTTTCACATCAGATAGCATAATATTGGAGGATTAACAAAAGCGTAAATTCAATATTGTCTTTAAGGACCAGTCTTTCCACATTTATTAACACTGATCTTATCACTCTGACTATATTATAGCTAGTGTTACGATCTAGGCAGAGACATATGAGAGATTTATTTTTCAAACGAATGTCTTTTCCAAAGACGGAATGATTGGTCCTGCAAGTTGAAAATATAGAATAATAAATAATAATAAGCAACTTTAATTTTATTATATGCTTTCTATGAGATAAAAATTTCGAGTTAAATTAAGTGATCTTTTATAAACAAAGAAAAGAATATTTCACTGCAATCAATAATGAATAATAACACTATTTTAAAATTCTGATATAGTACAGAATCTTTTCGGTATCAAATATGTGAAAGTTATATTTGTGCCTAAAGCTGTAGATTTATTTATATGGATAAATTTTTATATTTAAATTGGAGCAGGGAAAAGTGTAAGAGAATTTTTTTACACTCTTCTTGTACAGTAGCATATGTAAAACAGCCTATGTAAAAATTATACACTATTTATTGCAATACAGAGCATAATATGGAGAGCATATTAAAACTAAAGCATCAAAGTTTTTGTAGATAGTAGTGTACAACTGTAAAAATTTTTCTTTTTTATCAAGGCAGTCATCCATTTATCTGTTTTAAAATTATCACATTAATATTTTTACATAACAAGTTGGTCATTTTATTGTGATTCACAATTTATCTTTACTGCTATAGACTATGCATATGGTTTCTTTCCAAATTCTTTTCTATTTATTCTCTCGTTACATTCACTTTGCCATAATCGCATCGTGCAATCTTTCTATAAAAGTACATACTTTGTTACTTTAGCTTCTTTTGAAATTATATACAGCTTGATTCTAACATTCGAATGTCGAAAGAAGCATGGATACTTAAATTGGTGAATTCTCCAAAACCTGAGAAATAGCCAGAAGAATCTTTGTCACAATTTCTCAGAATTTGGATGACCCAAATATAGCAATGTAGATTGCAAATTCGTATTTAGCGCGATACTCAGCGTCTTGTATAATCTCCAAATGTAAGTAAAGTATCTCTCTATATGAAATGTAAAACAATTATCACGGAAATTGTTTGCATATTATTAAATTTATGTTTGTTTCTCAGAACCGTATATGCGGACAACACAATTCACTGAGTATCTCGTTAAGATTAATCGATAGAATAGAATACGTTTACGAACTTGTGTATAAAGAACAGTAAGATGACCAGAGAAAAGTATAAATTTCTTCTGAGAAGGGAGGGAAATCGCGCGAATAGCCAGAGAAAAAGTTTGTGCGAAATTTTAAATGTAATAACAATATATCCACGTAAGAAGAAATGAACAATAGATAGTAATACGAAACACGTTCGATAGATACAAGAGATACACATTATTATTGTATCCCTCGCGAGTTTAGTGAATGTCTCGGTTTATCTTACATAATTATTAACAGTCGCGCAAATGTATTATATTACTAGTTTCTTTCCATATTTCTTTTCACTTCGTCTTTGCTTCTTTCTTTTGTACGATATTTCACTACGGGCTATCTGAAATATCACGTAGACGTCATGTTTATTGCGGATCACTTCTAACGAAAACGCGTGATCATGATTCATGTTTCATTTTGAATGAATTGTTAAACATTTCACGAGGTGTGTGTGCGGCGAATATATGCTGCGAAAAATTATATATATAAAATCGGAGAAAAAAAGAGAGAAAAGGAAACAATAATGTAAATGATTTTTTCGTTCTTTCTAATAAATGCAGCGTGTTACGGAGAGATTTCGCAAGGCATTTATGTAAATAGTTGATGATGGTGGAGGAGGAAAAGGAGAAGGAGATACTTAGGGACCTGAGCCGACACACGCCCCCGTTTGATCTGTTACGTCCTAGAGAAGTGGATTACTCTGTGAACTCTGTAGAACGTAATGAAGATTATTTAACGCGGCGGCGATGTCACAGAGACCAGCACAGAGACTGCCGATTATTATAAAGATATTAACATGTAACATTTGTATCATAATATCATAATAAATACTAATTATATCATTATAAGTATATGAATGAGTGGCTGCTCGGAATGCACGTGGTATGATTCATTATGCTGTATCATCATTTTTTCTGTGTCACTGCGCTGCATTTTTTAATTTTTTATGACGATAGTTTTTAATTATGTAAATTCGAAATCCTGTCTCTTATCAATTCATCGAATCTTTTTGTCAGCGAGTTTTGTATAAAAAAATATATTACTTTACTTATTGCGTCGTATCTAGTGTCAAACGCGTGGCTTTATCTTGATTATCATTTCCCGTATTTGCCTTGAACTGCTATATCTATGTTGCAAGTAAGAAAGTCAAGGACGTTGCGTTTGTGCTGAAATAAGATTCTTTGCAATTATAATTATGTGAACATGCGTTCTTTGTGTGCATATTAAATGATTACGTACAATCTGAAAAGTGGCGACGACTCTAATCCGACTTTTAATAATAAATTTTATCTCATTACAATGAATCTGCGTGGTTATTATTCTATGTAGAAATCCCGGAGTGAAATGTAGAAATATCTGTATAACAAATGTTCAAAAATTAAAAAAAAAAAAAAAAACTCAGGTTAGTGAATAAAATCATTAATGTAATATAATCTCAAACGTGATTATATATATAATTATTTGCATCATGAATAAAAGTAGTGTCAAAAAAGAATTTCTCTAAGAATAAAATTTGTGCTATTGAATCTTATACTAAAAGCAATATCCCCAATAATCTGCCTATATATAATTATAATTTGAATGAGGTGTACAATAATTAAGACAATTCTTTGTTAAGAGATTTTGATTATAAATATTTAAATATCTACAATAAACACAATATTCTTCGCTTATAAAAATATAGTTTCACAAGCACACAATCAACATGTAAATTTATGCCAAATCAAAATCGTCCCTCTGTAAAACAAATACATATAAATTTATTTTGACTAGTAATATATATATATTATAAGAAACTAAAGATATGCTTACCTCATTCTTGTATTCTAGTACGTGTTTCCTAATAGCAGAAGTATCTACCCATGTAACAAAGTCTTCCAAATTTCTGTCAAATATATATAATCATTTTATTTATTCTACACATTTATACGATATAAGAGAGAGAAAGAGAAGTACAGTAATGTTACCTTGTTACTAGAAATGCAGGATCCTTTATAACTTCGACTCCAACTCTGACATGACCCTGTTCTATTAACTTTATTGCCATTGATATCGTTTGGCTCATTTTGTTGCGTACCATAACAACTGGAAGTCTTCGTCTACAAAAGCAACTGGCGGTTACTTTCTGAGTTTGAGACAAATCCCATTTGGTCGATATCAAGCCCATCATATATAGCTTTTCCAGCAACATGGCACTCTGCTCTATGCGAAAAGGATGGTCAGATTCGACTTCTTTAATCTTTTTGCCTAATTCCCGTATCTCGCGTGACAATTTGTTGTATCTACGATTATAATAAAGTTTTTAAATTATATTATATGTTATATATTATATATTATATTATATTAAAACATAAAATAATCGTCTCACTCTTACACCGTATAGTCCGATCTTTTCTGAATACAATATCGCTTTAAGATCTTAACCTCGTGAAGATTATTGTCGGCTGGCCACGATAAAAAATCTACCTTCTTTAACAGCTTTTGTTCATGATACTTTAATTTTCGCACCATCGTGAGCGATCAGTAATAATTTGTGCTTTATTGTTAGTATAAAATCAATTCTAGCTTTATTTACATCCGAAAAATCTACCACGCACACGCAGATCTGAATTAGTTCTAGTAATTTGCTCTCGAACCGAGTTTAATAACAGTGGAAACAAGCCCTAAGCCCTAATGCGTGCTAGTAAATTATTAGAAATACTGCATGCTGTGTGATGTATTTCTATTCTAGTAATGCACTAGTTTGTGTGCAATCTAGTATACGAAAGAAAAAAAAGGGTTGCAAGTTATAATCACAGTAATAATAAATAATCACAAACATTTTTTTGTTACTACATTGTACGAGTGCTTGACTGTGATTGGTCGATTGTGCGGGGGCCTTTACGTGTCATGGCCAGGGCAGCCATTTATAATTGAGCAGAATATAATTACTGCATTAATGAGCAGAATTGAGAAACGAAGAGTGTTTTAAACAGAAATGTTTAAAATATTATCTTAAGATGTCAGAGCTATTAAGATAACAAATATATATTAATAAAATAACTAATCTGTCCTTTTTATAGTTAATCTCTTGTTTTTTTCTCCGGGATGTTAATATAATTACTTTTTATGTCCCCTATTATCTACTGAAAATTAAAAAAAAATTACATATATATATTTATTATGTGTTTAAGGCAGTAAAAATAACAAGGCTTTTTTTAAATAGCGATTTTGTGACAGCATTTAAACGAAGCGCCATGCTATAATTGGTCAATATGTCATTAGGTTATCATACTAAAAGATGGTCCTGTAAATTATGTTGATATCGTTTGAAAATCATTTAATTTTTAAAGCTATTTCAACAAGGTAGATAATCCTCTTGGAATAGAATAAATAAGCAGAGAAGTTTCTCACAGTAAAAGGAGATAGTCGATAGACTAGTCGTGGATTAACCTATGGCTTGTAGAATTTTCGCGCGATATTTCAGTAGTGATAAAGAGTGATAAAACTAGATTACATGACGTGTTAATTTAGATCGGCGCGTGATAGACACAACATGCGATAGATTGTCGATTATAAAATAAAAATAATTGTAAGTAGAACTCAATAGTTTATTAGAGTAACGTTTAATTGGAAAAGTGCATAAAATATGAATAATAAAATTTTTTTTAATTAGAAAGAAATACATAATTTTACATAAGTTAATAAGAGATGGAAGGCTAAGAATGATAACAAGAGCACAGGTAATCACGACTGTTTCTGAGGATCACGAATATAATATATAATTCAAAACGATAGACGAGAGAAAGGAACCCTGTTTTTATTGCTCGAGAGGAGAATGATCAAAATAGGCGGAGTCTCTGTATATATAATATAATTATAAGAGATTAAAACCCGTCAATGATAAGAAAAGTAAATACAAATAAATACATAGAGAAAACAGGAACGAAAAGATTGAGAAAAGTGTTTAAAAGAAAACGGACATTGTGCTTCTAGAAAAAAATAGGGGAAGAATTCAATATAATCAGCTGATCGCCGCGTCATTTCTACTTTTCTACATGAGTTCTGTCACTTCCGTCATAGTACCTGGCCACGTTGTCTCATGAGGTAAATAACTAACAATAAGAATGTGATACTATGTCGCAACAAGATGAACATCCGTAGAAAAAGGGAGAAAGAGAAGTGATGAGCCATCCGTAATATTCGCGAACTCGACATATTAATTATTTAGTGAAATAATGTACATATTGCATAATCAACGCTTGCACACGATATATTTTTGGATTTTAATTCAAATTTTATTTTATCAGCCTTGACGCATCTGAGCGAGTTTATTGCATCAATAAGTAAATGAAAATTGCGCATTCTTTCACATAATATAGTATCCCAAATAGCACAAAAACCTATTCTATAAACATTCTATAAATATCTTTCAGTGAATATTTGAATATTCTAATAAAGTGAAAAAAACCATCATTCATATATGAATCTGCATAGAACTTGAAATAAAATGAGACCTAAATACAATTTCTATAAACAGATTTATGATAGATGGTTTTTTTTATTCATATATGAATCTGCATAGAGAACTTGAAATAAAATGAGACCTAAATACAATTTCTATAAACAGATTTATTAAATATTCTTTTTTAATCTGAGAATATCCTGAAAAGATTCATAAATAATTCTGTAAGAGTATATCCTCTCTCTCAAAATAGTATATTTAACGCTAAATAGAATAGTCAAAGAATATATTGTGCTATCAGGGTATGTATAGCTGATAGAGTGCAACGCGTTCCTTTGCGTTACCGTCGTGTTTTTCACGAATCCCGTTCGTTGTACAGTTATCGCTCTACTACATACAATTTGTGCATATGTAATTTATACAGCACTGTATAGTTGGTGACTACAATCGTCGGTTGTGCACGGTGCCGAGAGCCGAGAGTGCCGAGACTCAGTCGGACAGTGCGAGCAGAGCAGAAGGGAGCGTCGGGTCGAAGACGGTCCTGGCTGACTTGCGCGTTTCCCGGCGCTCGCCCGAAAATTCGATGAGTAAGTATCACGCCGGTCTGGCGTGGGAGATCACGCCACGATACCGCCGCTCTTCATCGTATATTCCGTCGTTGACGCTACTCGATCGACGCGATATCTGACATTTGACGTCGCCCTTGTCGAGGACGACGACGACGACGACGGTGAGTCGCGAGTGATCGAGGACAGAGCGTTTGTATACATCAGCGTCGTCGTATGATCCGATCAAAATTTCCTAACGATAATTTTTACATCGCGATATAAGTGTGATGTATGGTGTTCGCGATGTGTTGGCGAATGATAAGTGGAATACCGTGATGTAAACTATCACGTCAAAAGGATGTCATAACAGAAGTAAAAAATTAATTGCTAATTTATAACTTGCAACTTATATAACGTAATTTAAAAATAGTGAACTGGTGATGTTTATTAGAGAGTAAGACTTTTCCCTCTTTCTCTCTCTCTCTCTCTCATATATTGCATGTACTATTAAAATATGAGTTCTTATCATTGGAAAGGCATAGTAAAATTGTATACTTATTAATTTGAGAAATATTACACTAGTTTCACAGACAGTATTTGTATATATCGTGTGATAAAGATATTATTTATTAAAATACTGTTAATTTAAAATTTATATTTCAAAGAATGATATAATTTCTTATTTTGATTGTAAAATATAGCAAAAAACAACTATATAGCAAAATTAAAATTTTTTTTGGTTTCACGCATACATAAAACACATAAAAGCATATAAGTTAAAGCAATGCAGAGATTTAAAAATATGCATATAATACAATCGTATGTATGTGACATTGCTTATGTAAATTTATATAGAAATATTTCAGACAATGTGCATAAATAAAAGATGATCTTTGATCCTGTATATTTGATGATAATTGTATTCAGAATTGGTAAAATAGTTTTCCGTATGAATGTCTTTGAATATTTTGAAGTTGAAGAGACTTTTTGTCTATAAAATCTTTACAAAAACACATATGTATTAAAAGAAATAAAGAGAAATTATATTTGTATATTTCCAATAAGATCAAATATGAGATATCTTATCATTTGATGTATGTATATTATATTCTTATATATTTTTTAAATATTTTTTAAATTTAAACATGTATTTTCTTTTCTTGCAGCAAAGAAGTTCTTTATAAAAAAAATTCATGATATTCAATTCTGAACAATGAGTCCACAAAATCATAAAAATAATTTAACTCCAAAGAACATGGAGTCTAACGGATATTCCACTGGCAAGATCATGGCTAAAGAAGCGAGGAATCATTCATCTCCTTGTGAGTCAGTGGACTGTATGTGTGCTTAGATTGCTAATTTTTACTTTTTATTATATATTATTTATATTGGCTGATACATTGTTTGTAAATGATATCTAGTGACTTGGTGCTTGCGATTATTATGTCAATTGTTTTAGAACTTTAATATTTTCTTAACTTAGAATTGTATATACACAAGCATATTAGTTTATAATATTAGTAAAATATTGATCATATACTAAACTAAATAACAAAATAAGTAATGTTTGTGACAAAAATTCACTCAGAGTTATATTCATTTTGCTTAAATATCCCCAAGTAAACATTTGTAATTAGACAAGTTTTTGCTGTGTGTATATCTTTGCATTTCATCACAACTTTTCTGCATGATAAGCTTATTAATAATCACATTTCCAAAAATTAAATCTCTTTAAGTTTTTGTAAAATTGTGCTTTTAAATTGCTAGTAATCATTGCCTTTTTAAAAATATCTACCTTTGAACATTTTTTATTCCTGCACAAATTACAATAAATGAAATATTAATGACATTGTTGTTATAGCGATGCCTTGGTTTGGAATGGATATAGGCGGTACCTTGTGTAAATTAGTATACTTTGAACCAAAGGACATAACGAGAGACGAAGCAGATGCAGAAGTTGAGACGCTGAAAAATATTCGTCGATATCTTACTAAAAACTCGGCGTATGGGAAAACTGGTCATCGTGATACGCATTTACAAGTCAGTGCTGTTGAATATTCGATTTATAATTTACTATCTATATAAATCTGTTCCTCTCTCTCTCTCTCTCTCTCTCTCTATAATTGTTTCAAATATTATTCCAGATGAATAATGTTTGCATTAGGGGCAGACAAGGAACGTTACATTTCATTAGATTTCCTACAAGTGAAATGGGAAATTTTTTAGCACTAGCAAAATCAAAGGGCATGGCGAATCTTGTGACTACTGTTTGCGCCACAGGTGGTGGTGCCTTTAAATTCGAGGATAATTTTAAAAAGGTGCGGCATCACGCATCTTGATATTTATCTAATTATTATTGATAAATTACATAACTTCGAAATATCTTTGGCAGGAAGTAAACATGAATTTGGCAAAATTCGATGAATTAGATAGTTTAATACATGGAATGCTCTACATAGAAACCACGAATCCGCATGAATGCTATTATTGGTCGAATCCCACCGATGACAGCAAATGTCAGAAAGTACCCTATAATTTTTCTGAACCATATCCTTTCTTGGTAAGGATGCATGAAAATATTTTTTTACGTACATTTGTGTACATTCTCAACAGGAATGATTTTTGAAGATTGTATCTTGCAGCTTGTCAACATAGGCTCTGGAGTAAGCATATTAGCTGTATATGGACCAGAAAATTATAAAAGAATATCTGGAACGAGGTATATATATATATATATATATATTATATTGAACATGTATTATATAAATCTGTTCCTCTCTCTCTCTCTCTCTCTCTCTCTATAATTGTTTCAAATATTATTCCAGATGAATAATGTTTGCATTAGGGGCAGACAAGGAACGTTACATTTCATTAGATTTCCTACAAGTGAAATGGGAAATTTTTTAGCACTAGCAAAATCAAAGGGCATGGCGAATCTTGTGACTACTGTTTGCGCCACAGGTGGTGGTGCCTTTAAATTCGAGGATAATTTTAAAAAGGTGCGGCATCACGCATCTTGATATTTATCTAATTATTATTGATAAATTACATAACTTCGAAATATCTTTGGCAGGAAGTAAACATGAATTTGGCAAAATTCGATGAATTAGATAGTTTAATACATGGAATGCTCTACATAGAAACCACGAATCCGCATGAATGCTATTATTGGTCGAATCCCACCGATGACAGCAAATGTCAGAAAGTACCCTATAATTTTTCTGAACCATATCCTTTCTTGGTAAGGATGCATGAAAATATTTTTTTACGTACATTTGTGTACATTCTCAACAGGAATGATTTTTGAAGATTGTATCTTGCAGCTTGTCAACATAGGCTCTGGAGTAAGCATATTAGCTGTATATGGACCAGAAAATTATAAAAGAATATCTGGGGAACGAGGTATATATATATATATATATATTATATTGAACATGTATTATATATATACATTGCATGTTGGGGCAAGATTCGTTGTTAAGCAATATCAATATGTAATTGTTTTATGTAGTTTAGGTGGCGGAACATTTTTGGGATTATGTTGTTTACTTACCGGTTGTAACACCTTCGAAGAAGCGATAGAATTAGCGACGGGCGGCGATAACACAAGAGTAGATAAATTGATCAAAGATATATATGGCGGCGATTATGATCGTTTCGGTCTTCCTGGAGACCTAGTTGCGAGCAGGTAATTTACCGCAATTATTAATTGCCGTTTCAAATAGGGCAATTGTGATCTTTTACTTTTAACGCAATTCCATTTTTTGTTCCTTGTTTTTAGTTTCGGGCAAATGAATTGCACAGACCGCAGAAATACCGTCACGAAAAAAGATCTAGCGCGTGCAACGCTCGTTACTATCACAAATAATATCGGTTCCATTGCGCGCATGTGCGCAGTTAATGAAAAAATTGAGAGGGTAATAATATACATACATGTATACTGTTATATACAATTTCTTATACATTCTTATGGCATTTTATAACAATTTTTGCTTTTAGGTTGTATTTGCTGGGAATTTTCTCAGGGTAAATCCCATATCGATGAAATTATTGGCCTATGCTATGGATTATTGGTCTGAAGGAACCTTGAAGGCCCTGTTTTTGGAACATGAAGTAAAAACACAACAGCCTAAAAATTTAAAAGTTAGTCGTTTAAGTATTACAGATGTATCTCTGTCATTTCAGGGTTACTTTGGCGCTGTGGGATGTCTATTGCAATTTAATGGCGAATCGAGCTAAACATAATGAAAGATGTTGAACAATTATCACGCGACATACAGCATTCCATACAACCAGCTCGGCAGAATTTTTCGAGTGAGCAAAATTGTTCAACATAACTATTTATTTTTATTACATTTTCTGCTTAATTATTCGCACGAGTATATATATGAAGCAATTGTTTATTATTAGAGATGAAAGGATCTCTATATTTAAAAAATGTGACTATATATCAGTAAATTATGTCATATAATTATCATAACTTTTCTGTAAAAAAAATAATTATGTCAGGGTATATTTCTTTTTCCTGTTAGAGATTAGTTATTTCGATATAATTGTTCGATTATGAGTATAAATTCAGCACGACTCGGTAGACAGGATTGATAATGGACCAAACCCAAAGGGAATTAAGGATTGCCTTTCTTCCCGATGTTCGTTACATGCCGTATATAGACTAGTTCTACCTCATAATTTATATTTTCAAATTTTTCTACAAATGCACAGATTTTTATGTATATAAGTAATGGCAATCGTTATTACATTTGCGTGCCCGACCTTTCGTAATCGGCGAATAAAATCATTGTAATGCTAAATACTTATGCATTAATTGTTGATATGCTGCGCGTTATTAGAAGGATAAATTTCTTAATACGAGCTTTTAATTGATTACAATTTTTAATCAAATATTATTCGCCTATATGCGCGATTGGCAGTAGCTGAAAATTAAGAATTTTTTACATCGTTTATATTGTTACAGCGAGATATCGTGTTTCGTAATTCAGAATACACATGCTTCCTTCAGATATTACGAAATGATATACTCCAAAGTGTCAAATTTTGTTTTTAAGAAGTATAATAGAATAATGTGAATAAATGAAAATTATTGAAAAACGGAACAGTTGTGTGATGTATTTAATTCCTCTATTTTAATTATTTGATATAATTATTGGAAATTTATCAATTAATTTGATATACCACCACCATATCTTTTTATAGAACAAATAATATAAGCATGTTTTGTAAATAAAGCTTGTTTCTGATTTAATGTATTATGGAAGCATGCCAGATAAATTAATTTCTGCTAAATAAAATGTTATTTTAATATA